GTTTATTGCAACTTCCGTCATTCCATACAATTGACATTGCTGGCTAGGGCTGATAGAGTCTGTCAACATCAACCAAGTTTAAAAGCTGCTCTGCCACCTTTTTATGTTCTGCACCAGCAGTCTAGTTACGTTCTGGTTCAGTTGGAGCCCATCCCAGGCCTGGCTTGTCCCACCCCACTACCTAACAAATGTGAAACCCCCCCTCTCTATAACCCTGCTCATCCATGCTTGGAGACTTCTCAGCTGTGCTTTTCTAGTTGGCCCTGCATGTAAAACTGGTAGCATTTCAGAGAAAGCCACCTCAGAGGTCCTGGATTTCTGCCATTTACCCAGCAACCTAAATTTTATTTCCAGGATCTCATGACTACATTGCTGTATGTCATGGGTACCAACATGGCCTATGACCACTGACTCCACCTGCTCTGTATCTACAAAGCTATCTAGAGAGCATTCTCAGATTAAGGTCAGATGGCTGGGAAGTAAGGTGACAGAACAAATGATAAAATTATTTAGGGAACAATCCTACACCTCCTAGACCTTGTCTGAAGGGCCACATGATACTGGAGATCCTCTGAAAGACAGTACTTTTCACCTCACAAAGGGAAGTCAGTGATTTAACCCTCATTATCCCTTGCAGTCAACATGGAAAGGACTGTTTTAGCTGGCCTCCAAGGTTGGAAAACCTTTGAAAAGGAGGGAAAAGCATTTCAGTGAGTGGCAAGGTGAGAAAACCAAAGAGTCCAGGAGCTAACTTGAGGCCTTCCCAGGTTGCTCCCCTCATCCTTGTTGCTAGATGGGCAGCAAAGTCCATCAAGAAAAAAAGAGCAGGCCAGGAGGACAAGAATGCAAAGATTACTTCCACCTGTTCTCCCATCTTGGATTGAATGATTAAACCTCTGAGTTGGAGGGCATCTGATAATCAAGGGCAGAATTTATATAAAAAAAGTGCCTTTAATTCATTAAACAAGGCTTAAATATGGACTATGGATTCCTTTCTCTTAGGAGAACCTTACAGAAGGAATAAAGGTGTACTGTTTTAGGATAAATATACCACCAAATTGTTTCCTTTTAAAAATCAAACAAATCTCATAAGTTTTCTGTTTTCTTTCTTCATCAGATAAAGTGGATGCAGTTTCTGAAAGCTTGTGCTCTAAAAATAAGTTAGACCGAATCCTTTTAAATAAATAGCCACAGACAAACATGGCTCTGAACTTGAAGGTTATTCTGTCATTAGTGATTATCATTACTGCTAAAGGACCCTTTAGTTTATAAAGACACTCTGATATAGAAATCTGAGGTAGATCTTTGCAGAGCTTGTGGTATGCTTGGTCTTTCTGCTTGACTGCTTCACTTGTAGTATTGTGAAACACGAAATCATTGAAACTTTTATAAGAGCCTTAGATCATTTGAGTAATCATGTGCAGCAGGCATTCAAGAACCCAAGCTGCTTGGGTGGATAAAGAAGGGTGGTGTCTGCCCTGAACACTTGAGTCACATGTATGTTTATGCCATTTATAGTTATATTTGATCTCTCTGGTTGCTGAACAAATTGATCGTGTGACTCTGTTTTTACTGTAGTTACTCTAGATTTATTGGACTGTCTTTCAAAGAAGAAAGAAGGGATAGAAGAAAAAATATTATTTTGAGCAATTAAAGCAATTGCTAGAAAGTATTTCCTATCAGTGTTTCTTAAACAGTGAGCCAGGGATCATCAGTGGGACTTAGCACTGCAGCCAGTACAGTGTCTCCTCACTCACCTGTCCCACAGTGTTTTGGTTGGACTGGCATCAACAGCAGTGGCTGCCTGCACACACAGTGTGTAGGCCTACATAGGAGCTGGAATTGGTCAGAGTGTGTGAAATTGGAGGTGAAAAAAAGAACAGAAAGACGGAAGGAACAGACAACAGACAGAATGGCCAGGTGAGTATGAGAGAAGGAAGACAAAGAATGGGAAGAAAAGAGTTATCAAAGACTTTCTTAAGTAGAGGTAAAGGTGAAGAACAGGGACTCTACTGAACCATCTGGTCATAGCAATGATTACCTTCTCCACCAGAAGAATAACTTAGCACTGTGGAACTGTGGAACCTGGGTATTGGTGGTGGGGGGAAAGGAAGATGATGGAATTGAATCTAGTAAAGCTGGGATTGAAGAGAAGGATTTTCAGGTACAGGTAGGATGGTAGATCTCTGTCCTGTAAGGGACAAAGACCAGAAGGGGGATTTCAGGACAATTAGAAAATGAAAGATGGTATAGACTGGGATAAATGGAACACAAGAATCCAAAAGTTGCTCTAAAAATCCATGGAGCTTTGGACAGAACCACTTTATATTCTCACCAGTAGAGTTCTTTTAATATTGTTTAATTCTGATAAGGCATTTAAAAAGTGTGTTGTGTTGCATTCTAATTCCGTTTTGGTGTTTTGGTAATCTTCAACATCTTTCACAGCTTAATAACTGTGAAATCTGGTGGAATACATTCCCAGAAATGTTTAAAGTTTTAATCTGTTGGAGTTTTGCTTCAGGTTACATGTTTGATTAAAACTATGTCTTGGCTAACCTTTTCTCTAAGATGGTATTACAGCTCATTCATGTAGCCCACATTTGCCACCAAGTAGTTTGTAAGGAAATAATTTACCATGCAAAATATGTTAGGATTTAGCTATGGTTATTATTCTGACCAAGATGACCTAGGCCAGTGGTGGTGAACCTATGGCATGCGTGCCGCAGCGGGCACGCAGAGCCCTCTGTGTCAGCACACAAACCAAGTCTCCCCTGCATCGCTCCAGCAGCTGAGCATCGGATAACAGCGCACATGGGTCCATGCACATGCTCAGAAAGGAGTAGTGGCGCCAGGTGATGATGTCGCGAGCCATGACTCATTAGCTGCGACTCGTCCGAGCTTTCGCATGGCCAGTCAGTGCACTGCCAAGGATATTTGCTTGGACTGGCTGTGTGTTTTTTTCTAAAGTAAAACCTCAGTATTCAGGTTTTATTGTACTGTTGGCACTTTGCAATAAATAAGTGGGTTTTGGGTTGCAGTTTGGGCACTCAGTCTCTGAAAGGTTCGCTATCACTATCCTAGGCCAAAGGTGATGGCACTACTTGATAGAAATAAAAATCAACCAAAATATGTGATGTGGCTTCAGTAACATAAAACTCTGAACCAACAGAATCTAAAGTCACATTAAAATAATAATGCATGGAGACTTGTTATATGTGCTGTATTTATTGTTTTTATACTTCGTTGTAAACCACATGTAGAGCTTAAGCTGTGGGGAGCATAGAAATGAAAATTATTATTGAGGAGAAGGAGGAGGCGGTGTCTGACTTACAGTGGCCACAGGAATGAATGCCCACAAAAGTGTCTTGCCCTTCACAGCCCTGCCCTGCTCTTACAAACTCAGGTCTTACGGAGTCACTAGTCAATTTTTTCTGGAGTCATACCACTACATATTTGGTCTTTTCTCAAGAACAAATCTTGCCAGACTATTCTGATTTCATTTTTTGATCAGGTAACCTCCCTGATGGACTGTCGGAATGCTGTGGACGTAATCTGTCTTCACTTTAGCACAGCTTTTGGCAAAGTGCCCATGATATCTAGCTAAAAATAGGCTAGATGGAGCAACAATTAGGTGGCTCCACAGTTGGCTACAAAATCCAACTCAAACAGTGTTCATCTATGGCACTTTCTCAAACTGGGGAAAGGTAGCAGTTGAGGTACTGCAGTTCAGTCCTGGGCCCAGTGCTCCTCACCATTTTTAGTTTTTATTTAAATGAGGAAGTTCAAGGGAATGATTATCAACTTTGCAAATGACACAAAACTGGGCAGAATAGCTAATACTCAGGAAATAAAATTATCTTGATAGGTTGGGGTGCTGGGCTGAAAACAACAGAACAAAATAGGGACAAATGCCAAGTTCTGCACCTAAGAAAAAGAAATTAAATGCATCATCACAAGATGTGGAATACTTGGCTCAACAATACTGCAAGTGAGAAGGATCTTGGAATTGTTGTAGATCACAAGATGAATACGACTCAACAATGTGATGTGGTTACAAAAGGGGCAAATGTTATTTTAGGCTGCATTAATAGAAGTTTCACTTCCAAATCCCATGTTCTCCTTTACTCAGCACTGGTTAGACCTCGTCTGGAGTACTGTGTCTGCTTCTGGACACCATAGTTTAAGAAAGATGCAGACAAACTGGAAAAGGATCAGAGTAGGGCAACAAGGATGATTCAGGGTCTGGAAACAAAGCCCTGTCAGGAGAGTTTGAAACAACTGGGTATGTTTAGCTTCAAAAAGAGAAGACTTAAGGGAGATATGATAGCACTGTACAAGTACTTGAAAGGCTTTCACAAAGAAGAAGGACAGGGTCTATTCTTAATCATCCCAGAATGCAGGAAATGGAATAATGGCTGAAGTTACAGGAAGCCAGATTCCAGCTAGTTATCAGAAAAAAAATTCCTGACTCTTAGAGCAATACGACAATGGAGCTAATTCCCTAGGGAGGTTGTGAACTCTCCCACACTAGAGGCAATCAAGATGCAACTGGGCAGCCATCTTATAGGGACAGTTTAACTTGGTGTCCTTCACTCAATGGGGGGTTGGACCCAATGGCCTTCTGTTATTCTATGATTCCTCTTCTTTTCTCTGCAGTGAGTCTTGCCTTCTTATGCTGTGCCCCAAGTACGACAGTTTCAGTTTTGTCATTTCTGCTTCTGGCGCTAATGCTTACAATTACTTGAAACTCCATTGTACTTAAAACTTTGGTGTGAATTTTGATAAGCAAATATATTCAGTGTTAAAGTTGGAAATGTGCCAAATGGAAGCATTTGAATGATGTGTAATAGCTTGTCCTACTTCTTGAGTTAAAAATTCCAAAGTGAGAAGTTTCACGCTTGGTTTCAGCCTCTTGCATTGCCTATGCTGTTCCAGAATAAAGCTAAGCATGTTTTGTAGAAAGTGTTTAATTTTAACTGAATTTTGCTTATGTGTTACAGCTCCACTTAGCAGCACTGGCATCTCTGAAAGGAGACATCGTTGAACTTAATAAACGCCTACAGCAAACGGAACGAGAAAGGGATTTGTTGGAAAAGAAATTGGCAAAAGCACAGGTTAGTTAATTATTCAGTATGCTAAAATGATCTTGGCCTTTAATGCTGCAAATAATTTAACCAGTAAAAAGATTAGACACTTTGATCAGATAACTATCAAATAAGTGAGACTTTTAACAGGTGAGCACAGCATAATGTAGTAGTCTCCTCTATATGTCAGAGGAGGAAAAGGACAAATGATACAAAGTCTTGCTCAAAAACAAAGATGTATTTTATTAATATGTATTCCAGGAAGAGAGAGAGCAAGAAGTTATTTTTGTCCTGACTCAAGAGTCCTATATATCCTTTATGAAAAATAGAGCTCTTATGTGGTATCTGTTATTTTAGGCCATTTCAAAATTGCATTGGCCACATGTTCTCTGGCCTGTGGAACACAAGATGTTTTATTGCTGACATCATGAAGCAGGAGAAGAAGTCTTCCTATAGCACCTATTTTTAACCTTGAACATTTAGGATTAGAGAATTAATCAACTAAGGGTGCAATCAAATATGGTTGTCCATATGGTTCTTTCTCCACCAACTTCAAAGCCATTGCAAGGGTTCTGCAAGTTTGCATCATTAAAATGATTGTTTGGCTGAGCTGGGCTTCTAGTACCTTTCTGGTTTGCCTAAATATCATGGAAAATGTTCTTTCTCAGCTGGAGAATGCAGATATACTTTGGCTATTGGGCAGTATAGAAATAAGATGATGATGATGATGATAGTGATAGCTTTCTTAATCTTAATCTTTCTGATTGGTTGAGTGACATTCAAGCATATTGCTGCTCTATACAACTCTGGTGTGTCAATATTGTGTTCAATTCTGTGCCCCTCATTATAAGGAGGATATAGCAAGGTTGTGAGTCAGTATTGTGTTCAGTTCTGTGCCCCTCATTATAAGGAGGATATAGCAAGGTTGTGAGTCAGTATTGTGTTCAATTCTGTGCCCCTCAGTACAAGAGGGATTCAGCAATGTTGGACTCAGTGAAGGGACACTAGGATGGTGGCTTGCAGGGTAAGCCATATGAGGAGAGACTGAGGGAGCTGGGTCTTTTCTGCCTTGAGAGGAGGAGACTCAGAGGGGACCTGTTAGTGACATACAGGCACATTAGGGGGTGCCATGCTGGGGTGGGTCATGACCTTCCCCCCCCTGCAGTGGAGGACAGGACACATTCCAATGGAGCAAAGCTCAAGGAACCAAGTTTTAGGGTGAATGCCAGGAAGTACTTTCTGATAGTTAAGACCCCTAGGGTATGGAATGGGCTTTCAAGGGAGGTTGGTGAAGCCCCAGCAGTGAAGGTATTTAAGGATAGGCTGGACATGCACATGGTAGGCATGTTATGAGTGGAGCCGGCTGGAGCCGGGGGGTCAGACTAGATGGCCCAGGAGGCCCCTTCTGACTCACTCTGTTTCACTGTTTCTGTCAAGGAGGGAAAAACATGCCTGTGTGTGTCTTTGGGTGATTCTTCTGCTAAAATGAAATGAGCTTTAAGATAACAATAAATCAAACATTGGCACTTTAGCTCCTCCTCCCTTGGTGAACAGTTCCATGTTATGTGAGGTCTAGAAGGCGTGGGATGAATCATGTAATAACTTACCCTATTTCAACAATTGTGAAATAATCATCACTCTAAACTGATTTCAACTTCATGCAGCTGCCTTGGGAAACAATCCTATGCCTGCCAACATTGTCAGATATTATTTGGATGATGTTGACAACGACAACATTGCAATTATACCCCACCTTTTTTCCTCTTGCAAGAAACCCAAAGTGACTTACAGAGCTCCATTTTATTTTCAGAAAAAGAATCCTGTGAGGTGGATTCCACAGAATATTTGTGGCTGGCCTAAAATTACCCAGTGAACTTCGTAGCCAAGTGGAGACTAGAACCTGGATCTCCCAAGTCATCAGTCCAACATTCTAAGCCCCACACCACACTGGCAATGCTGTTGCTGCTGATGATAGGATTATTCTGAGCTCTAGTTCTGTGACCTAAGCTATTGTAGTTTAGATTTGGGTCATTAATACAGTGAAGTCGTATTTAATCACATGATCCTGCAGGTTTCTATATATCATACCAATATCACAGAGCTGACATAGTTTCTCTATCATATTTCTTACATCATCATCTTGTTGCTTTGTGTTTTTTTTCCCACGGCCTTCCAGTCTTCATAGGTTTAACAGGGCCTGGATTTCTGTATAAGAATCACCCCTTTCTATTTCAGTAAAAAGGTTGCTCATGTCTTGCCTAGAAATAAATTTTCTTCTGCCCTGCCCGAAGCGACTGGTCTACATTTGCAAGCATTTGTCTAATGTATGCCTCAGCCTTTCCTTTCTATTATATGTCAAGTGGTATTTTTGACTGCAGTTAATCCCAAGGCTACATGACCATCACTGAAATGATGATTTGAGACTTGAGTTTTATAAATATAAACTGCAAATTATCTGTGATTACCATATGGAAGTGTGATGATAAAAATGATGTAATAACTCCATGGGTGTAGCATAATAAAATGAAATATATTGGGTAATATTCAATGTTAGTCCTAGCTAAAGTTGTTCATTGAAATGAATGAGACTTAAGTTAGTCACAGATTCAAGTACCTTACACCCTATTCATTTCAATGGGTCTCATCAATGCTAACATTACTGATAATGATCAAAATATTGGAAGGGGACTAAGATTAAGTGGAAACTACAAGTGCACATTTTATTTCTTGTTCTAGAATCACTGCTGCCACTGATAGCCAAATCTTAAACGAAAAGGTCAGCTACAAAAATTAAATAGAACAACTGGCTACATAGTTTCAGTTCCTTCCCCTCACTGTAATTAATCAGACATCTTTGTGGTAATCATGCAAATGAGAAGATATTTTTCTTCTTCAAGGAAAATATATATTCAAAGCTGAAGTGGAAAAGGGATGCTATTAGTGCATTTGCAGGAATGGTGGAAGATGGTGGAGGATGCAAAATAGTCTGTGTATATCAGCTGTTACATTTGTTTAAAGTGGATCATGTTGGAATGTTCTACTTCAAATAAACAAAACAAACCAGAGTAGTAAAAAATGATATGTGGTTTATCATTAACTTGCTCCATTTTGCAAGGAGAAATGTGGCAGTAAACTGGAAGAGAACAAAGCATCTGACATTAATGGTTGGTGCAACTGGAAAATTGCTGAAATTCTGCTCATTACTTATTTTAGATTAAAGAATTAATTGTGTCATCAATGTCATCACATTTTATATACCAATAATGAGCTCGTTCTCTGTGTATGAATCTTTATGTAGCCAGGACAGTGCCATCCTTGCACAAGGAGGGAAATAGCAGCAGACTTCAGGGAAACCTCAAGGTTGGCAGACATACAGATAACCCTAAGGGCCAGCTCAAGAAAGACTTGAGTATGCTTACTGAGGGAGAGTGGGACATGGAATTGAGTATCCAGAAAAAGAGCATGGCAGGTTGTTGTAGGTCCCACTTCTTAATTATTGTTTATAAAAGCATCTAAAATATAATAGTTGCTATATGTTAATCTTAAAGTAAATCACACAGTAATTAACCTTGGAGTACTTATTATTTGGGGGATGCGGGGGTTACAGTGGTTTAAACCGCTGAGCTGTTGGGCTTGTTGATCGAAAGGTTGGCAGTTCAAATACGCGCAACGGGATGAGTTTTCATTGCCTTGTCCCAGCTCCTGCCATTGTAGCAGTTTGAAAGTATGCAAATGCAAGTAGATAAATAGGTATCGCTTCAGTGGGAAGGTAACAGTGTTCTGTGTGCTTTGGCATTTAGTCATGCTGGACTCATGACCACAGAAACTGTCTGTGGACAAACATTGGCTTCCTTGGCTAAGAAATGAAGATGAACTCCCTAGAGTCAGACACAACTGGACTTAATGTCATGGGGAAACCTTACCTTTGTTTATTATTTATTACATTCACTTTGCTTATATACCACCTTATTGGGAAAAAGCCATCACTGATGTCCTGCCTTTCCACTAGAATAGCCCACAGTGCACAATAGGAAGGTAATCAAAGAAATCAAATGGAACATCAAGAAGGAAATCCAAGAAAGATAGGAATATATATGTTATTTGATTTTTATTTGATGAAAGCTGAGGAGGGAGTGGGAAAAAAGCAATGAAGACAGATGAGTGCAAGGTCATAAAAGACTTAATGGCCCAGCAGAGGAGTTTAAACAATGTGGAATTATACATAAAGCCAGTGAAGAGTAGCATTTGAGAAGAAACATAAAGTGTTTATACTTATGGTCAGGAAGGTAGGAGAGCAAAATTTTGCAGTCATCACATACAACAAACTCACTCTGGCATATGTTCCCTGCAAACAGGCTGTTTTTCTCTGAGATCTCCTGCTCAACTGTTCTGCTGTTACCTTCCTCCAGTTCCTTTCCACCTGTTTTCCCCAATGTTCCTTGCCATTGCCAGAGATTGTCAGAGATGTGTGACCCCTACATTCTGCTCTGGAGAAAAGGGACACCTCCAGAAAAAAGGCAGCTAGGCACACATATGACTTAATCACAAAGCATGGTGCTTAGAATAGCGCATTGGAACTCTTGATGCCACACTCTGTGTTTTGGCTTTCAAGTACACCCATGCACTTGAGAAACTTTTTTGCATGATAGTCCTCTTTTTTCCCTCTAATGACTGTAGCAGTAAACTGGAAGCATTGAGGAATATGTCAGTTTTGCAATCTGTTCTCTGCAGTGATAACACTCTTCTTTCTTTGGTGACAGGGAGAGGGAGAGCTACATGCAGTTCATGGGTTGCCCATATAGTGTATATAGGAATTGATTCTGTAGTATTGACAAAGATCTAAATGCAACACATTCTGAGTGAATAAAACCCTGTGTTAAACAGCATTTCACTCATTTCAAGAGATAAAATATTTCATAGATGATTTTTATGCTATTTGTTTACTGCTAGAAAAATAAAAATGTCCTCAGGAAATGCCCTCTCACATAAAAAAATGTTTTTCTTTCTGTAGGAGACTTTAAGAATTACATAAACATGTCCTGGGGTTTTTGTTGGAGTAAAGTCACTACCAAAGGATCCTAGATAGTTATATTTTTGTTATAGCAAGTTAAAAATAGTACATCTACATGTAGTCTCTGAGTTATAAAAACTGCGTCACAAACAACCCATACTTATGAACACATGACTGCCAGAAACCCTATATGAATATCTTTTATGAAAAGCCATGCGTATCTCTGTGGAATTATGCAACACATTTGGTGATGCATCATTAGTGGCCACATAGTTCCCTAGAGATCGTCACAGCTATCTCCAGGGAACTACGCAATACATTTGGTGATGCATCTCTCAGAGGCCTTATAGATCCCTAATGATATATTAGTCATGGCTTTTTGTTCCACTGCATCCAGAGCTTAGACTCCAGTGGCCACTCTCTCAGCAGCACATTCAGACCCTGACTCTCCAGCACCGGGACCATCTCCATCATCATCAGTTAATGTTAGGCTTAATGTTAACTCAAGAATGTTGTAAGGTGCTTTAAGAACTGTTCTGTTTATTTGGTTTCTTTACAGTACTATATACTTACACACACAGATTCTTCAGTAGGTGGTTAAATTGACAATATATTATGTCTTCATTGTTAAATATGTTTAGTGGACCAAGTATAGTATACATTTTGTTTTGTATTTTAATCAACATTTTGTTTTGTGTTTTAATCAACATTTTGTTTTTGTTTTAATCAACATATTTCTGTAGGAGACTTTAAGAATTACATAAACTTTTAAGAATTACATAAACAAGATTTGACCAAAGGATAAAGGCAATACAGAATACAAAATTGCTTTGCCTTATATTCTCATATGCAGATATCCTGGAAAATAGCCTTTATGCTCTATTTTAGGCTTCCTCGTAATTTCCTAGTAAAAAAACCTCTAGTTAGATTGTTAGAGTATTCGAAAGATGAGAGAATATGTGAAATGTATCTAAATCCATATAATCCACCGTAAATCCCTGACAATAAAGCCCCAGATACTCTTCTGAACTTTTTTAAGTTATTCTGTTTTTGTTTTTTAGTGTGAACAGTCCCACCTAATGAGAGAGCATGAAGATGTGCAAGAGCGGACAACGCTTCGCTATGAGGAACGAATTACAGAGCTCCATAGCATTATTGCAGAGCTAAATAAGAAAATTGATCGACTGCAAGGAACTACTATAAGGTATCATGATTCTTGTGAATTTTGTCAGCCATACACCAGCATAAGGCTACTTCTCAAGTCTCTTCTCAAGTCTCATTTTCCTGTCTAAGCAAATCTAGAAACCTCCTTGGGTAATGCCCCTAATTCCTACATTGCTAGTTTCCCCTTTCACCCTACCATTTACCTAATATCCGCATCAAATTCCCCAACAGTTTTCTCCCTTAAGTCCAATTTCCATATAGTTGCTTAATTTTATCTTAATATCAAGGTAACTGGATTTGCAGGCATTCATATACATATTGAATATGTCCAATATATATGTACATACTGTTTCAGTGAGATGCGTCTTACACTATTAACTAGTGGAAGTTATATTCTTTTATATTTATTCAGCATTTCTGGTATATAGATGGAATCCTAAATATGCATAGTTGCAAATGTTGCATTTCCATTACAAATGATACAGATGACATAGCAAATTGTTAAAAAGCCAGCAGTAATTCCTAATTTTCTAATCTTATAGGCAGTGCAAGAGATTGGGATAGTTTTGTAAAGTTGAATCTTCAGTAATATTTACAATATCACTACTTATTTTAGAAAACTCCACTCTAGTGAGAATAAGAAAAATATTAGTATGTCTTAGAAATACAGCTGAACCTCAATTTTTACAGGTATGGCTTTTGCAGTTTTAGTTATTCTCAAATTTCAGTGTGCGACTACACACTCTGTTTTCGGATGTCATGCTCTTTGTCTTGGTACTAGCCAGCCTCACTCACGTGTGTCTAGAAATATTTGCAGTTTTTTCCATTTTTGCAGGGGTCTTTCACTCTTCTGCAAATGTGGAGGGTCAACTGTATGTGGAGCGTGAGATAAACATGACCTAATAACATAATTAGGTCTTAGTGGATTAAGATTATGAACGTGATACAATAAATTAAGTTAAGCTTAACGCCAAAAAAAAAAAAAAAAAGTTTAGCTTAATGCCAAAAAAATACCTTTTTAAGATGCTGTGGTTGGGAAAATCATCAAAATTTTAAACTCAGAATGTTATGTTATGAAAAGATACAGAAGAGGCAAATTGTGCTAAAACTCTATTTGATATTCTAGCCCCATTGTTTATAGTACATAGGCAGTTTAATCAGAAAAAAATGCCCCAGCATTACTCATGTCTAAACAAGCAGAAGATTACAACCTTAAATGCACTTGTTTGCATTATTTTTGTGCCATTCCATAACCAAAGTATCCTGGATAGCAGATATTACAAAAAATCTCAGTCCTGGAGAAACAATTGATTAATTCCGTGTTGCTAACTTGCTTTTTTGAAGAAAAAATCAAACCATGTAAGAATTTTTGAGATCTAAATTACAAATTTTAATTTTTATATTTAACCTGATGGAATATAAGATACATAATTCTAAAGCAGTAGTGGGCATCTGTGGTAGATTTGACCATTTTTGACATCCTGTTGAGGTCTATGGGTATCTCCCCAGAAAATAAATAAAATGATGGTTTGCCAGTTGAGATTTTTATTTGTATTTGGTAAAATAAACTCCTCCTGCTCCTCAATTATTAAAAGATCAAGGGTTGCATGGAGTAGTGGTGGTGATAGAAGAAGGGAACACACTCTATGTGCCCATCCCTGTTCTAAAAATTAAAAAGTTATATGATGAAAGATACCTGGTACACTCATTCTTCTTAGGCCTATTAAAATTCTAATACTCATGCTTTTGTTTAAATGGACCCTAAATGCATCATGACAGCTTATCTGTCCTGAATCTCTAGGCAAATTGCCTGTTCCTCCAGTTCGTAGATGAGACAATATTTGACTGAACCCACAGTAGTATAAGAATGTGGCTCTATGCATTATGATATACTGTATTCAAGCACTATTTCCTTATACCCATCCAGAGAGCTTCAGCTCTGTGTCAGAATGAAAATGAAATAGATAATGATGATTTAATTTAATAAATGGTGAAAATACCTTTTCAATCACTGCTGCCATTAACCATCTTACTGAAATAGCAATGACTGGAAAGGGGTAGGTGGGCTGAGCATCATTTTAAAATATGGCTCTATAGGGTTACATCACTTTCTTTAAATGCTATTTTGGTGTTACTATATTTTTTTAGAAACAGAACAAAACAATGCCACCCTATGTAAAAGGTGAATTTGAAAAATAAATAAGTTTTAAAATTGGCACACCACTCAGAGGTTATACAAAATATCATATACAGAGGTATGATAGGTTCACCTACCTGAGAGATAACTGCCTATGTTAAAGCCACACCTCTTTTTAAACAGGTGAAAAAGTAGCTTTAAGCCTGTATACCCATGTGGCATTGCATTACTCTTCCATCCTTCTTTGAGAAGCTGGATTTTCCCCAATTATTTTTTTTAAGATAGAAACAGCATTTGGAAAACACAAGAGGATTACTAATGGGTGTTAATCTTGTGTGAATCCCCCATAAAATATGGTTGAACTTCCACTGTGATTCCACAGTACTGAATCATTTTTTGCCATTATAATCATATTATTCATTTATATCTTCACATATTTGTTTACAATGAAGAAATTATTCAAGTTTGGATCATTTATATGAAATCAGAGGATCAATCATCAGTTCTTACAGTTAAAGACTATGCAGTTAGCTTGCATCAGTTCTGCCCCAGTGCATTTTTACCCATGAGACCTTCAGAACAGCAAAAGTTCTCACATCTGAAATTAAAATCTCAAGTCTGAAATGAGCAAATTGAGTTTTTCCAAATACCCTTAATTACTAAGACCAATTAGCTAAAAATATGTTGTTGACTTAAGTTCATGTTAGCCCCTAATTGGCTCATGATATTGATTATATTGTCACCCAAAATTAGAGGAAAGCAATAAAGTGCTAGCAAACAATTTTATACTTGTATATTATATATGTTTAGCATGCATAAAGTTTGTGAAAAGTGTTTAATAGATGGGGAAGTTTTCCCCATCTTTCTCTAACAAGAAAATGTTTCCTTTTCCATATTGGAGAGCATTGCACTTCATCCATTCTGCAAAGGTTATAAATCTTTTTTAATTTTACAAAATTAATTTCTTAGAAGAGAAGAAACAAGTGTCCAGTGAAAAGTAGATCATATGGGGCTTTGTCACATAGTCTTTATCCGGAAGAACTAAAATTGGAATCTGCCTATTTAGGAGAAGAGTTGGCAAAAATATTAGCAAGAATATAATTGTGACAATTCTTGTATTCACAGAGGACCCTCACACCTGAGGATATCAAAGTGCTTTAGCAGCACTAATTAAAACAGAATGGATGTTGGAAAACAACCAGTACCTAGATGGTGTTTGAAGCCATGAGAGAAATATTATGCACACACCCTGTCAACACCCCAGATGAATTTGCTAGTGGAGATGAGGGTGGGGAATGCATCTGTGTTTCATTTCAGTAGTTCCCTGCATTATGCTTAATGAAGGGAAGCAAACTCTATGCATTACTGCCTTCTTTGTTTCTCTTTTGTATTAAGAGAAGTCATTTCTTGATTTAAAGCAAGAGCTGGTTGTTGTGATCTGATCGAATGGCAACAGGATCTACCAGTTCAGCAAGCAACCTGCTAATTGCAGAAAGGAAGCTGTAATGGTTAGTCCATCATACTGAGGTTATCTGCCTACATCCTAAGATTACAAAAGGCTTAGCTATCTAAATATATTTCATGGTGCATTGTTGGTTCACATTAGAAACCTGTTATGTTGCAAGAGGGATTCCTGGTTGATTGAATAATGGCTTACAGTTTTTAACCTCACCCTTCAGTGAAATGGTCAGGGTGGTTTACAATAAAATGTTTAAAAGTACAAGCAGAAAATCTGTCAAAGCAGGAATTCCCATAATATACAAGTCAGTTGACAAGAAATCAGAAGTGTTAGGACCAGCAAAATAAATAAATAAATAAATAAATAAATAAATAAATAAATAAATAAATAAATAAATAAATAAGAAAGAAAGAAAGAAAGAAAGAAAGAAAGAAAGAAAGAAAGAAAGAAAGATTGATTTCCCTGGTGCTGGGATGATATCAAAATAGGCATGAAGTAAGCTTCACTAGGGACAGCATTCCAGTGTTCTTCAGGGCTGATTAATTCTTCCAGTGTGCATTAAAACTATACAGTGGTACCTCAGCTCACAAACGCTTCAGTTCACGACCAAATCAGGTCGCGAACAAAAATTTCATAAAAATATTGACGCAGGTCGCGAACTCCACATTGGGTGGCAACCACAATCATAGCCTTCTCCCTCCCACCCCGAAGGGGGGAGATGGCCACGATCATGCTGGAGCGGGGGCGGGGGGAGATGGCCGAGATTGCGCCCATCTTTCCTGCAGGATCACACCCATGATTGCACTCAACTTTTCTGCAGGAGCACAACCGTGATCCGCCCATCTCTACCCCCAGCGTGCCCTGTTCGTGCCCATTTCTCCCCCCCCCCAGTGCACCCCATTCACACCCATTTCTCCCCCAGCGCACTGGGATGACGGGCGTGATTGCAGTTGTGCTGGAGGGGCGGGGAGATGACTGGGCTTGTGCTTGGGGTGGGGGGTGGGAAGATGGCCACGATCTTTGTTGTTCTTAGTCACTTTGCTTCACATTTTTCTCATTAAAAAATAGTTATAGAATGGATTAACCTTATTTACATTGGACCTTATGGGAAAATTTAACTTGGCTCACGACCAATTTGGGTCATGACCAGAGTCCTGGAATGGATTAAGTTCGTGAGCCAAGGTACCACTGTATATACACTCGTGTGGGTATTACTGTGAAAAAAGCAATTACAATCTTTGCATTTTGTCACTGTATGGCAAGGAAAACTGTGTAGTTAGACTTAAATCTCAGTGCCTCTATTTGTCTTTTTTATACTTATTGAGTAGCGTTGGGCAAACTGGTCTTGGCCTCTGCACTGTTGGTCAGTGGATGCAAGATTTATTTATTTATTTATTTATTTATTTATTTATTAAAACATTTCTATGCCGCCCCTTGCCGAGGC